GAACAAAGGACTGAACTACTGCCCTGAATTCCTTTATGTGGTTGAAATCTAGATTATGAAAGTAGCAGGTGCTAAGTATCAGTGCTAAATGCTGTGTATATCACTACATAAAATAAGAACATCAAAAAGATTAGCATTGGACATCTTAATAAATTAAGTTGATATGAGGTTAATGTGTTGATAAAACTAATTTTAGACATCTGAAGACCTTTAAAACATTTCATACAATTATTGTTTTGCAAAGACTGAAAACTGGGGACTCAAGTACTGTAACTGATTAAAGATGTGCCATGCATTATTGGATTATCACACTTACAAATCTGTTTGCCTTGTGAGTAAGTTTTGGGGAGCATTCCAAAGCAGTATTTTTGTTCAGATTTTGACTTTAATTTTTTTTTTCAGATGCCATTTTCCTCAACAGTGAAATTACTAACATTTAACTGTATTCTGTGGTTTTTGCTGATTTGGTATAAAGTTTAATAGACATTTATATTTTTTAAAAAGCTAGATATCAGTCTGTTAGGCAACGTTAATGATAATATCCAGTCATAATTGAACAGTTATACAGAATAAACACATGTTGCCTTAAAGGGTTATCTAGTATCTTCCATTTTGTTTAGCATTGAAGCAAATAAGCAAGGAAAATTGAATCAATAACTCTGGTCAGTCGTTTGGGAATGCATGAAAGATCACTTAGTCCTCTTTTTTCCTTTTTGCTCCTATGGTTCCCAAAATCAATATGCACATCACTGGGATTATATGGTTTTTTTCTAGGTGTGCCGCCCTTTCTAGTTTGTTCTGAGAAACACAGGCAGTTGATGTATGTTTATATTTTAAGACAGCTGTCATGGGGAGACCGCAGCCTTAGTATGATATCTTGCACAATTTGTGAAGCATTTATTCTACTGAAGGCACAGTCTTGTTTATATTTTCTGCACATTTTGGTGTATTGGTTGTTTTAAATTATTTAAGTTTTAACTTGTGAAAGCATATAATATGATTTCTTAGTATTTTAGAAATACATTAGAGTCTGTGAGTCTTTCCTTCTTTAAGATACAGATGTGTGGATTTCAATATAAAGTTGCATTTGCCAAAATTTACCTGTGTAGCTTGTTAATTTTCTTGGAATAAAATTTTACATTTTTCCAGTTATACAATTAACCTTTTTATTTTGTCTAGTGAGCTAGCATGAAGTACTGAGAATGTAGCCATTATGAATTATTATCCTTTGCAGTCACTGTATTCCCAAAATGTAAATGCATGAACGATGGGGACCACAGGATTGATAAATGATATTATCTACAGTAGCACTATTGTGTAGTTTATCATAATTACCCATCTATCTGTTCTAATATGTCAGTTATATTTAAAGTTACAACACAGTATTTGACATTAACTTCACAATTTAATTTTGGAAAATGTGTGTATTTGAAGCGCAACATCATGAGTTGGTCAGTCATAAAGAACACGGATTTTTGTTAATTTGAGGAGAGACAAGACTAGAGGTCTTAATTCAGTATTGGTATATCTTGTCCTTTGTTGTAGTTTTATGACCAGCAAGTTAATGTATACATACACAAGCAGTAGTCAATAATGGAAATGCTTAAATTTGTATGATAACATTATACAATATATGCAACAATTCAGAAAGTTGCATCTATATGTGATCAGACAACTTGATCAAAGATTTGGTGAGCAATCTGTTTGACCTCACTTACACTTACATACTGAGGTTGATTGGTTGAGAGGCATGGCTTTATATACTGTGTTGAAACAGAAAAATTGCTAAAATAATGAGTCCTCATCAGTACAAGAATGTTTCAGAACATAATTTGAAATGGGACCAATAAACTTCTACCAAAAGGACATTTTTATTACACTGGAAAAGGCTTTGAAATTAAGGTAGTTAAGCAGTTGTCCAAGATAGCAAGAGTGAATAAAAACTGAATCATATGTTGAGAAAAATTCTGAAAGTTATCCCATTTAAGTTTATTAAAAGGTTGATTGGCAATAACTTCAGTCTAATTTCTATAAAATAGTAACCTTTACAAGGAACATTGATATTACATATTGTAATAAAGAAGTACATATAAATAAAGTTGTAAATAGTGTTATAGTTGTAGAAGTAGTCAGTTCTGAGGATTAGCCAGAAAAGTTTCAACTATGAACTTTCAAAAGCTGCAAATTTGGGGCCTGGCCTCACTCCTGGTAATGTCAGTTGGTGTTTTCCCATGAGCTTCATTTGGAGCAGAAGCAGGCCCTAACATTTCTATAGAACTATGCTTCTGAAATACTAAGAAGGCTGTATTTACTATGCAGTGGGAAAAGGAAGAAAACAAATCCAATTTAAAACTATTTCCCTGGAAGTTTTGCAAGCAGTAACTGATGTAAATTAAAATAATAAACAGTAAACAAGTCTGAAAGCAAATATTTTGATAAATGTTTTTCTTTTGATATGACTGTAATTCCCTTGGCTATATGAAAGTACGCAACAGTATTACTACCTGACAGAGGACAGGTACTTTTTCTTAAGTGAATTTTTATAATTGTTCCAGTAGGAAGTCTTGTGACAGAAATATTTCCTTTTGTTTTTCTCCAGTGTTTAAAGAACAAGGGGATGTTCAGTGAAATTAAAAGCCAACATATGAAGTAACCTTTTATTACTCAGTGGAACTCGCTGGCACAGGTTGTCAGGTAGTTTAGAGAGATTCCTACAAGAGCTATATGTATACCTGAATTAAAGCAGTGCTTGCAGTTCTCATCATCATTGTCATTTTGATCCTAGTCAGCATATCAAAACTAATGTATTAAGGAATAAATTCAAAAGAGCGAGAAGGCTCGTTCCAACTCAGTACACTGTTGTGTCACAGTATGAAAAGCCTTTTACTTTCTTGTTAGTACAGGAGTTAAGCTGTTGCCAAAGCTAGAATACAGGGCTGGTAGGTTACTCTTTTCTTTTCAGAAGAGGAAAGAATATTGCACTATTTCATATCTGCATTGATCTTTAATGCTCATGGGTAATGTGATGTTAATAGTTTTAATTTTCTGATGACAGAAAAAAAAGAGTGAGAACAGACTCCTGGAGAAAGGCTGTCTGCCCCTGTTGCTTTCCTGCCATCTGTTGCCCCATTGGCCCTTTGGTAGCCTCTTCATCAATCCTTCTTACAAGAGTAAATGTTTCATATGCTGAGTGTTCTATTTCTCCTGCTCCTTGAGAAGTGTCTCAGCCATCCCTCCTCCCAGCAGATGAGCTTCTGCAGCAGCTTCCCAGGGTTTGTCAGTGTCTGGGTTCCCTTCATGAGGACCGGAAGGGACCGCCAGTTCCTTCCAGCTGCCTTTGTAGTTCATGGAGTTGTCATCTCAGGGTGCTTGGCTAGTGCACTGGGTATCTGTCTTTTGGCTTTGGTCATGAAGTAGATGCTATTTAGGTTATGCAGAGAAAAATGAGAATGGGGAGGGGGGCAGCAGGACACAACTTTCCCAAATCCTTCTTAATGAAATCACTGGTTTTGTTGCATTGGCCAATATTATATTTTTTTAAAGCATATTCAGTGTTAATGGCCCCCTAAGTGAATAAATGTACAGTTAGCCAGGTAATGCAAGATTTTTGGTACAGTTACAAAATCCTACAAAATGGCTCTCCATCAGTCTCCAGGCCTTGGGGGCAGAGGAGTCCACTGTACCTATCTCCTTTTAAGGACATTGTGTTTGTTCACTTGTATTGCTTTTACTTTGCCTTTCAAGCATGTCAACATTTTATTTATATTAATAGGAGTGCAGTATTGCAGCAAGCTGTTATTACTCATGGGTTTAATAAAAGGGAACTCTGATGATTTTGGGAGTGAATTAGAGAGGTATTTCGACTAGCAATTGGTTTTTATCAAATGCTGAATAAAACTATGGGTTGCTAATCTCTTTCATAGTTACACAGTTCTCAATTACTGAAACTAGAAATGGAGTAGACTAACCTGCATGAAGCTAACACATAGGTAATATAAAATATATGCACACCAGGTAAAAACTTCCTGTGTGTATTACATTGATCAAGGAGTGGAGTTAAGCTGAAGCAAAAAGCGAGATCAGAAATTGAAAGAGGAATGGTGGGTGTTTTTCCCCTTTTTTTCTGCTTTGTTTTAGCATAGCACTGCTAATCTGCAACCTGGGTTACACACCCACATACAACTGAGAGTTGCCTGTACAATTCTGCATAGCACATAGACAACTTCCTTCTAGTTTATATTCATTGAGAGCTGTATGAGTGAACACTACTGATCTGATTGACTTTTCAGGGAAAAGGGAAGGCTCAGTCCAAGGTGATGTTCTTTAAAACTAAAATTCAATAGAGGTTCTTAGCTTTTGTGTACTGAAGTGATTTTGAGTGTGAAGAAATCAGTGATCTAAATCAGTAACGATCATAAGCATTCTCTGCCCGTGGCCATTAAAAACAGGACAAGATGGCATTTTGCATTGCATATGCCAGCAACAAATCAAAGAGTTTGATATTATACACCAAGACTTTCCTTGAGTGGCCTGAAAATAGCTCATGCTTTATATTTAGAAAAAATATGATGAGGCTGTCCATTTAAATGGATAAAATCTTTTACCAGCCAGTGTGGAAAAAGAAGGGTGAATTTTAAAAGCTGCTTATTATAAATAGTGAAGAGTTTTTGTGGTGTTTTTGTTTGACTGAACTGTGTAATTACATAAGTATATGATGAGCAAAGAAGTGGCAGAGTAAATAAGTCAGATTCTTTAATAGTCTAAAAAGGAAATAAGTAACAACAATCTTCAGACATTTGAAATGAAATAATTTGTTTCATAAAATTTAGATAACAAAATATTTACATTTTCAGTTCGTAGTGATTTTATGTACTTAAACAAGAATGTCTTTAGACAGTGAGTTGGCTGATGCAGCCCAGTGAGAAACTTATTCTTGCATCACAGATTTCGCACTATGCTTTGTATTTAATAAGCACGAG